TTGTTTCACAGAAGAACACGAAGTCCTTCCAAACAAAAATTACTGGTCAATTCCTAAACATGTCATTCCAGACTAGGCAAGGACCCCCAAGAACCGTTAAGGCTTAAACTGTCTGCTTAACTGCAGAGGAACTAGAAAAATGTTGCATGTATTGTTCACAGAGGCATCTATCATAATCATTCTTGGCTGGAGCTACGGCTCCATTTATTGGTATCACGGTATCAGATGATATTTGCCTGATTAAATACTAAATTACAAAAAATAAAAACTAGCGTTAATAATGTTAAAATGAATGAGCCCATGCTTCTTGAGTGCTGCTACTCTACGCTAAAACAATGTTTTACAACCCTGATCTTCCTTGTTTTGCTCCGTTTTCTTCTCTTAAAATGACACCAAACTGTGTTGTAAACATGACCCAGACAGAAAGCACATTTCCAGAAAGGAAACTTGCTGCTGATTTAGTTTTTATGGATTTTAAAGTGGAAGGCATGATGATATCTGAATTATAGTGGAATTATATTGCCAGATAACTGCTTTTGGAGTGATGTTTAAATTTGACATTTCTGATAAGCTGACATTTGACGTATTTATTGAATTTCAGAGGAGCAGAATGTTTAGGCAGCGCTGGGTTACTATACTAAAACATTTGCATTTTATTTTTCATTTTCTTGCATTTTACAAAAATGAATGCTTTATATTTCTCTGTAACGCAAATTTGCACAGATTTAGTCCCAATTCCTACATTTTATAAATGCTTCTATACTAGAATGAGCAGACATATATGAAAAATACCAGATATTGGCATGAGCCCATAGTTCCCTTAACAGACCATCCTTATTTCCTACAAAACAGCAGTAAATGATATACATTGTGGTTGGCCGGCAAGTCCTGGAGTACCATTTAAATTGGCTACAGGAACATTTATTTAATGGCCATTATTATTGACATATTGCTCAATATCTATCAAATATTTCACTAAAAATAAGGCTGAAAAATGAAATGCAATATCACAATCAATACTGACAATGTATCGTCCAGCCAGTTGATACGAGACACACGGGAGAAATAAACCTGCCGTCATTTTTACAACACAAAGTGATGGGCATGTCACAAACACCCACACAGCAACAATGAATGAAACATTATGATTTATATCCTGCTTTATGAACGACCCTCAGCATCTTCGTAATGGTCTCTCCAGCCATGGCACTTTCTCCTCCACGACCTAGATTTTAGAAAGTGACCGAACCTGCACCAACACGTTAAAGCCTGCACAGCACCCTCTCTGTGTCTGCTGGTAATTCAGAGCAGAAAACAGAGAGAATCCAGCCCCTCCTCTTAACACAGTATACACAGTGATTTAGACAGTGATGACAGCCTTATCGCTATGGCAACTGACTGCTTTATTGCCGTGCACTTCAGAGACAGTCGGTCCGTTTCTGTCTCTTTGACGATACCAGGTATCAATATTGCACCAATATCAGCAGAAAAATGCTGGATTGGTATCTGCAGGGAACAAAAGTACGAATCTAATCTAATTCTGTAACAAATCTGCTCTGAAATTGCACTTAAATCGTGTCTGTAGTCGAGCTTTAAGAATGCGTGATGATATTGGGATCATATCTGATGTGACTGATATTTTAAACCAATATTTGATGATTTTTTGATGATTTTGATGATTTGATGAGTATTTATTGTACTCTAAAAAAGCAGAATGTTTAGGTGATGGTGGGATACTACGCTAAAATATCTGCATATTGCTCCTTTTTTCATTCCAGGTGGTCCCACTTTCTACATTTTACTTTTTTTTTTAATCAGCACCAACATTGGCAGATATGCTCATTAAAAAATATTAGATATTGCCATCAGCCCACATGTCCTATATGGGTCATGTAGTTAAGCCACGTATAGCTGCTTTCAAAAGCTCCTCAGATGCTGCTACTTGAGAGTTCAAAAGACAAATATGACATGATGTGTTGGTTTTAGTTGGAAAGAAAAAGTATTTTTTGTTTTATGTTGTTTTTCTGTCATCAAACAGAGTAAGTTATTTTGTGTTACTCGAAGAAAATGAAGAGCAGAGGATGCTTAATGTGAGTTTTATCCAGTTAGAAGCATTGAATCACATATTATATCGTCAGCGTCAGAATAAAACCTTAAACCTCCATTTCTCTCTTTTTTTTCTTTTGTTAAAAAATTATTTGAAAATAGCAGCTGTTCTTCACAATGTGTCAGAATCCCAGGATACATGGACTAAAATTACTTGGGAAAAATTTGTATTAATGAACATTTCCACTGTGAAGATGCGACGATGATATGAGAATATAAAGACTTCTGTTCACGCATGGCTGCTGAATAACTGAATAACAACCAATTTACAAAACAAACATCAGCAGCCACCAAGATTTTAATAACTCCCCCAACTTGAAAATCTGAGTTTTCAGCTTTCTAGCAATTACGACACTGTGAGGTGGTTCAGGCGCACTGACTGGACCTGAAGGCAGCATGTCCTCTTGTGGGCTAGCAGAGTGTTAGAGTATTTTGAGCATGATGGCCCACTTTTAGATGCTCATCTTAAGTGACATGCTTCAATAAAAAAAGCTCATTTTAAAGCTTCACAGTTTCCAAAGAGAAACAGGTATTTGCCAAGACTCAAGCTGTCAGTGCTGGTAAAGAAAGTGGTATCGTGTCATCTCTAGTGTGTGGGCTTCTCTGCGCTGCTCGAAAGGCCGAAGGTTCCTCTCTACAGTCGCCCAGAACTGCTGTGTCAGTGCTAAAGCATAAATGAATACATGTCACTTGAGGGTGTGGCTTCTGTTCCAAGAGTGGCTACTAAGGAAATCACTGCACTAAAGAAGCATCCAGGAGAATTTACCGCACAAACCATTTCAATTCAACTTAAATTCTACCAATTTTTCTAAATTTCTGCACGATTACATCACCGAGAGGTAAACAAGGTCATTCAGAGCGGTTTGGTCTGAAATGCTCCGTTCTAGAGAAACTTGCCGAGTCAGAATTGTTCACAGTGGTGGTAACAGGAACCAGACGTCCACCTCTAAGAGCTCCTTCAGAGAAAATGATTACATGAAATGGTCAGATACATGCTGCCAGATGTCTGACACTTTGTTTTATGATAAAGTTTTGGCTTTAATCCATTTATTTCAATCCACTGATGGCGGAGGAGTACATGCAGGTGTTGTAAGGCAAAACAGTCCCAAAAGGAAACTTATTATGACTATTTTACCATCAACATTGCATATAAAAAACTGTGTAGTGTAGGTTCACTGGTGGTTTTGGACAGTAAATAAAATGGCTATATTTGTTTTGGAGACATTGTGAGCCCTGGTTCCCTTCAGCACCACTGTAAAGAAATCAGAGTCAGTAGGTTTCTCTACAATCAACCACTTCACATCAAATCGCTCTGAACGTTTACATCTCATGGACAGAATTATTTTTAAAAATTTAAATATTGGTGGAATTTCCATTTAAAGATGAACAGCTGGCTAATCTTGCTTGCTTATTTATCTAGCTTAGGACTAGCCAGCTTTCCAACTAGTCTACTAGAAGTTTACTGGCCAGCTTGCTCTGTTCGTCATGAAGCAGAGGGTAAACAAAATAAATAAAATTCATGTACATGTAAAGGCGCTGCAATGCAACTATCACATATTACAGACAACTGGACAACTTAGCTGGCTGGATTTCACCATTTTCATCACAAAAAAATGGGGATAAAGTGCAACATCATGACTTTAAAACACTAAACATTAACGATAAACATATGACGACTCGAACACTGTTTAATCAGCTGAGCTTGCTATTATAGCTGGACAATCTGACTATCGTTATCATGATAAATTACATCACAATATCTGGCAATGTTGGATTTAGTGCATGAAATGCTGAATTCAGGTGATTAAAGGTATAGTTTTTGATATTTTTTAAAATGTGGCACCAATTTGTCTGTAGTAACTTAAATATCGTGAGGCATCGTGTATCAAAAAACCTCCTGAAGTATCGTGATATCGCTGCCACATCGTCCAGCTCTTCTTGCTATGCAGCCAGCATCATTTTGCCTAGCAGGCTAAGCTAACTAACTAACATGTGTTACTGGATCCCACCTGAAACCCAATCCACAGGCGCTACGCAGCTGCTGCAAATCTTGAAGTGTAAAAAAATCTCAGACTTATTTTATTTCACAGCGCTGTTGCCTGTTGGTAACACCAACTAACTTCAGCTTAGGTTGTCTCTCTAAGTTTCTAGCAGACGACAAAGCCTGCCATCTCAATCTGGACCTTTAGCTAGCCTAGCTCCTGGCTAATAACGTGACTCAGTCACATCCAGGCTGCTATAGTCTGCGAGCTAACGTTAATCTAATCTCAACCACTAATCACGACCGTCCAAAATGGTTCATTTTATACTTATAACGCTACTGCGACCTCACACTGCCTATCTGTGATGCTTCAAATGGACGATACTGGGATTTATATAGCAGCTCTGCGATGCTAGCTTGCTAATTACATAGTAGTAGCAGAGTTTGAGCTCACCAGTTCGCTCACAATTCGGAATTTTCCGTTCCACCTTAAAATGGTGCAGCAGTTCCATTCTGGCGCCGGCACAAGGGGCCGAATGTTACGGTAACTGCCGCAACATTTAAGGTGGAACGGAAAATTCGATTAAGACGCTAACTCCGTAGCTCATCATGGGGCCTGTCCAGCAAAACTAAGCAACAGTAACGTCGCTCCCCCTCCCATTTCATCCGCCACGACCGTTAACATAAGAGAAAATCAGTGCCGATTTAAAAAAAAAAAGGCTTAACATCATCCACACAGGCTCCTTAATCAATAATAAAACCCAGTGTCCAAAAGGAGAGAAGGGGAAAGGCCTGAAACTGAGGCAGCTAAGCTAGCTAGGTTAGCTGGCTCGCTATCACGCAGGCGTGCGTGTGGAGCAGATGCCGCAATGTTCACCGAGCAGCAGAGAAAGAAAACAAACTTCTACGTTACCGTCGTATCTCTCCGCTTGCTCAGCGAGCTTCGCTTGGTATACAAAGTGCTCTCGGTCTGCCATGGCGCTGGGCGTTGGGGACAGGCGGTGCTGGAGCGAGGCTGGGCGGGTGCGTGAGGCTCTGTCGGCGGTCTGTGGAGCAGCGGCGGCGGCTTGGAGCTCCCACTCTACCGGTAGGTCTGCTCTAAAGATGGCGACTTAACTCTATCCGGGAAGGCTTACACACATACACCAGCACTCGGGCTTAGAAGAGTGCACACACACACTCATAGGGTCTGGTCAATACCTGAACCTCACCACTAGTTGTACATTTCAGTGTCCAAAAGTCTGTAGACATCTACTCAAGGTTATTCATAGGGATAACCTTATGACCTTAACCTGATGTCACCCTCCCTTTGCTGCAGTAACCCTTCTGGGAAGGCTTTATATTATGTGTTGGAACATTGCTGTGAGGCTTTGACTGCATTCAGCTAAAAGAGCATTAGTGAGGTCTGGTACTGATGTTGGATGATTAGTTCTGGGTCACTCCGGCTCATTCCAAAGGTTCTAGATGGGGCTCCATCACTCCAGAGAACCCATTACCACTGCTTCACAACCCACAGCTGGAGAATCTTTGAGGCCTACCCCTCTGCAGATGGTTCTAAAAGGGAATAGGTATGTCTAGAACCATGAGTTCTATTTAGAGCAATTTCATGCCTAAATGGTTCTTCAGATTGGTGTTGTATATGGTTCAACATAGAAGCTTTAAAATTGTTATATAGAACCCTATACAACACACTCGCCATCAATCTGAAGAACCATTTTACTGTGCAAAGAACCATTTAAGCATGAAATGGTTCTAAATAGAACCCCCCTGTACCAGAGAACCCTTGAAGGACCATCTATGTGCTAGCTGATGCTTGGCAATGCTTTTCTAAGGGGATACAAGTTGTGTGTTCAATGTTGTGAGTGCAGTTTAACCCCTATGTCAGCAGTGGGCACCTTTAACACTTTAAAGTAATGAAGTTCACCAAGAAGGTCCAGGAAGGACTTCTGGACATTAAGAGCCAGCTTCCAAGACTCAGATTAAGTCCAAGCATAGACTTTAAAGAACTTCCAATGGCAAGTCACCATCAGCACAGCAATTTAGTCCAAGACTAGGCTAAAAAAAATGGTTTCTTCAAGGCAATGGGTCTGTGTAGAACCATGAGTTCCATGTAGAACAATTTTATGCGTAAATGGTTTCCAGATTGATAGAGAATGTGTTATATATGGTTCTAGGTAGAACCTTTTTGGAAATGGTTTTATATAGAACCATATACAACACATTCTCCATCAATCTGAAGAACCATTTCACTGTGCAAGGAACCATTTAAGCATGAAATGGTTCTAAATAGAACAATTCCCTGTAAAGAACCCTTGAAGGACCATCTTTGTGCTAGCTGATGCTTGGCACTGGGCGTGGTGAACTGCTCCAGCTCCTCACATTGTACTGACAATGCTTTTCTATGGAGATACAAGTTGTGTGAGTGCAATTGAACACCTTTGCACCTTTAACATTTTAAAAGAAGATGTTCACCAAAAAGGTGTGTCTGGGTGTTTTTGGACATTAAGGGTAGCTTCCCAGACCCAGATTAAGTCCAAACATAGACTACAAAGAACTTCCAATGTCAAGTCACCATCGGCACTGCAATTTAGTCCAAGATTAGGCTAAACAAACAAAAGACACTGGGTCTTGTTACTGATGCTAATGATCACTGAAACCTCACTATTAAAATGGATGCTAAATTAGGCCCAATGGAGTTAATATAAGCCTCCCATACCTTGCAGAAGTGGTCTGTATTAGAATGGAGTGCACAGGTTAAATACTCCAGTGGAATTAAGTTTCTTATTGTAAAACGGATAGTTCCGGTCCTAAAGTCTGATTGGCTGAGCCGCATCAAAGCCGTTGCAAAATCCACGATATACCACGGCTATGACCGCCTCACAGCAACTGAACTCTGTATAACTGCACCACGGCACGAAAAACCCTTCTGCTGTTAATGGATTAATTTTTTCTAATGCCGATCGCACGGAGCACCGAGTGTACTGTTGAAGTAAGAACCTGTTTTTGTTTAAACTCAGGGGCTGAAAAGGTATTTTCTTTCATACAACAGTTAGTTCCGGCCATGCAAGCTGATTGGTTGACAAGCATTCTAACCGTGCTTTTATTTCGCCATAACATCACGTTTTTTTTCACAAACACTGTATCACTCCGCTAAGACGCTGTTGCTAAGCAATGACTTTGACGGCTGTAGGAGACGCTCAAGCCATTTGAACGTTTTTACTTCTTACTTTGCACACAAAGGAAAAAAATGGACACTTTTAAGATCACATTGACCGAAAGCCGATTTGGTCAGACTCTGAAGATGAGACGACACTAAACTCCCAAACTGTCATCACCACTGAGCAGCTTTTCAGTCAGTAGCTGTGACAGAAGGACACCTAAACAACCTGGAATCAGCTAGAAATGAACCGAATACCATTCGCCAAACTAAATGGGCTGTAAGATGCTTTACAGACTGGCTGGAACAAAACAACATTAATACTGATCTGGCAAAAATTGACAAAACTGAGCTAAACTTGATATTGCAGCAGTTTCATGGCTCAGTCCGATTTGGTCAGGCTCTGAAGATCAGACTACACTTTTGGCGAACGGTATTTGGGTCATTTCTGGCTAATTCCAGGTTGTTTAGCTGTTCTTCTGTCGCAGCTTCTGACTGAAAAGCTGCTCAGTGTTAATGACAGTTTTGGAATTCAGTGTAAGGAGCTGGAGAACGAACTGCCAGCTGTGCAGCGAGTTTGTTACTTTGATGTAGCTACAAGCTGTTTGTTAAAGAACTATAATTTGGCAGAAGGAATTGCTGACATTAAAACATATTAAATGCCGCGTTTACGGCCCAATTTATTAATTTCTTACTTTATTTATTTAACTGTTGTATAAAAGAAATAGAACACTCGAGGTCGTGTGTCATCGCGAATAGCATCACGGCTGTGATGATCTACAGAACTCGCCGTAGAACTCGTGATGTTATTTTGCGATAACACACTGCCTCTCGTGTTCTATTGCTTAAATCTAGAACTAGGCTGGTTCAGCTAGCCAACAGGCTAAAAGATAGCAAACATGCTAAACAACTCCAAAGTTAATATGACAGGCTTGAATTAAAGTACTTACGATATGATTAACTGAAGAACGGCAATATAAAAGTCTAAAGAATGTCACCTGAATGGTTTACACGCTTTAAATGTCTGTGTTTCAGTCAGAAGTAGCATCAAATCCAGGCTGAATCCCAAATGGCCCTGTACTCCCTAACTAAATTGTGTTCTGTGTAACATTAAGTTTAGAAATTCTAGCTTCTGCAGTCAAATAGGGCACTGCCTGTCGAGTATGAATGCAGATGAATCCCAAATGACCATTTTTAGCGATATTTTGCATTGTTGGGGTGCAGGAATATTTAAATACAGGAATATTTAAATTCAGGAATATTTAAATACAGGAATATTTAAATTCGGGAATATTTAAATTCAGGAATATTTAAATACAGGAATATTTAAATTCAGGAATATTTAAATTCTTCGTGTTGTGCCAAACAACACCCTTCCCCGTGATAAAATCACAGTAACCCACAGCCTCTCATGGCTTATTGCTCTAATATCTGATGCCAACCACCCACAGTTGGAATCTTCTCAGTAATCCACTGTAGTAAAATGTTCTTCTTTGCTGCAAAGGTTGTTGTTGTACATACACTTTCATTCAGTGAAGTTACTTTCCTACTGGGATTACCCAGAATCAGAAAAAACGAATATAAATCAGCTTCAGTATTAAAGATACTCCTGATTCCTTGCACTGCCTTAGCCCAGTATTCCTGTACCATATAACATGACCAAAACAATAGGTAAGAGAACCTGACTTGTACACTTTTGCATCAGAGCTACCTGGCATGAAGTCAGGATTATTAATAATTGGAGTTAGAACAGAGGTCAACTTCCTTCAAAGCAACGTATAGCCCGCCATACCTTAACAGGATTAGCACAGCGCTCCCAAACTAATTTGAAATTTTTAACGAATAAAAGGTCGGGATGGGATACCTAGATAGGAACTGTTCAAGGTCCAACCATATAGAGGTTGCTTCACTGTTAACCCATTCAAAAATGTATTTTAAGTGTCCAGACCACAAATAAAGTTTAATGTTTGGTAAATCCAAGCCACCCATAGATCTCAGTAGTTTTTAAAACATCAAAGTCTTCAAAGACTTTAAAACATGGTCTTGGTTTACCTTACTAGAAAGCAGAACAGGAATCATCTGTATTGGGCGCAAAAGTCTTGGTAAAATGTTCATTTTAAGAAGGGCTAAGTCCCAACCAGGTGTTCCATTGGTCGAGGTCTTGCATTATCTTTTCCAACCAAGTGTGTGTGTGTGTGTGTGTGTGTGTGTGTGTGTGTGTGTATACACTGACGTGCCAAAAATCATGGAATAGCAGTTTTTCTAAATTGCTTATGAAGTGGTGTTACCTCAGGGGACGGCTTGAGATCGCCCACACCTGTATAAGTTGTGAGGTGTTACCTTGTGAAGGAGGTTGAACACTGGCCGGCGTGCTCATGGCAAGGCGACGTGAGTTCGAATGAGACCTGATAGTGGGTGCCAGACGGTTGGACGTTCCATTTCCGAAGTTGTCAGGCATTTAACATTCCTCGATCCACAGTGTCACGTGTGTTTCGGGAATTCGGCATAGAAGGCATTACTACCAACAGTTGACAGCAACAGTGGACAGCATAGCATTAAGCCCACGGGTGCTTAAGGATTGTGACCGGCAGTGTCTGGCTAGAAGCGTCTGAACAGACAAGAAATTCAGGCAGAAATCGCATCCACATAATGCAGGAGGCCCCACACACGTGACCCACAGGTCAGTACAGCGTTATTTAGCTTCCATGGGAAATAGTGAAATTCTCCTCGACATGACTTATAAGTAAATGTAGGGGGGTAATGGTAGGTATTGATCTTAATCGACCTACAGGCAGAGCTACCGACTTCATAATATGAATTTTATAGCCTGAGAAGGAGCTAAATAAAAGGTTGGTACTGAGGTCTCAAAACATCTGTGTAAAGGGTTATTTTATGATATTTAGCACCAGTTCACGATCCTTCAACAGATTTCTCTGTTCTCATCGCCTCGGCTAATGGTTCAATGGCC